CGGGGTTTTAAAAATGACGGCTCCCCGCTTATGCAAATGAAGCCCGGGAAATTCAAATCCCGGGCTTCATTTGCAAGTTCGGTATGCATACATTACCCCGCTAGTTCGAACTAGGAGGGTAGTGTAGACATACCCTTAGAGATGGGGGCTGTCTTCACAGGCTGCAAAGAAATCTTAGAAGACTCCCTTTCCTACCCTTACCCGGGAAATGGCCATTCACCCAGGAAGCTCCTAAGTGGAGCTTTGTTTTATTCCTCCCTAGAGTGAGTGGAGACAGCAAGCATGAAAAATCAGGTGGGGAATGGGGGGGGGCAGGGGGGCAGGAGCTATGTAAGATAAAGCTCCAAATATCAGGCCTGTCTCTCGGGTCAGCAGGCCACGCGCCAGGCAATGGTGACTGGCAGGGATGGCTCTGAGGTCTCCCCCTTTTAGGTCAGCCTCCAGGTCACGCTGCTGTGGCAGGGGAGGGAGGCTCCACAGCGGCCTAGGCCAGCGCCAGCCTCCTCTCCCGCCGACCCACCAGCACGTCACGTGACCCAGGACGCTGCGAAGGCAACCAGGCGGGCCTGAGCCTCGTCTTCTCTGTTTGCCGCCAAAAGCCCATCGGAGGAGGATCACGTGGCAAGGCTGGTCCAGCCCCCTAGGCGCGCGCCGTCGTGTCATGTGACGCGACACCCCAGCCACTCCTCCCATCCAAAGCCTGCGGCCGTGGGCGAGGGAGCGCGCGTTTGTGCCTCTCTCCTCCGTACGTGACCCCTCCCCGGAACGTGGCATTGTGTAATCACGTGACCCGAGCAGCGAAGGACGGGGGCGGGGTGCGGAGGGGGGGTTGCGTACGCGACGGAGCGGGGTGCGAAGATGGCGGATGAGGAGGCCGAGCAGGAGAGCGGTAGCCTCGGCGGCGGCCTCCTGGAGCTGCAGCGCCTGCGGGAGCGGCTGCTGGAGCTGGAGAGCGGGCTCCGGGAGAGCGCGGAGCCGGCCGTGCAGGCGGCCACCGAGTACTGTCAGCAGCTCTGCCAGGTCAGGCCGCCTGCCCCTCCCCCGTGTGTGTGTGTGTGTTGGCGGGAGAGACGGGAGAGCAGCGCCGCCCCCGCCGCGCGCGGGAGGAGGCAGCGGCTCGGCGCTTCGCCCCGCGCGGAGCTGGCTGCGGCCGGGCCCTGGTGCCGCGGGAGGCTGCTGCTCATTCTAGCCTCGGATTAGCGGCCCGCCCCGCCCCCCGCCCCGGGAGCTGCTCCCGGCCCGTAATTTCTCGCCCCTCCCTCGGCCGCCGGCCTCTTGCGGTCTCGGGGCCCCTTTGTTGTGCTCTGCGGGCTGGTGTCGCCTCGCCTGGCCTTTGTTCCTGGCGGCGGCGCTAGCGGCCCTGCTGGGAGCAGCAGCGGGGCGGCGAAGGCCTCTCTCCTCCCTGGCAGGGCTCGCGAGCCGGGGGGAGGAGCTGAGACTCCGTTCCGGGGCCCTGTTTACACTCGGCGAGCTGCGGAGTGCGGGACTGGCGGGCGGAGAGTCCGGCACCGCCCCTGGGCCTCTGTATTGTCCGCCGCCTGGCCGGGCCTGGTCTGCCCTGCCATGGGGGGGGAGGGGGTGCGCTGCTCTGCTCCCCTCCTGCTCGCGCCCAGGGATTCACATTGCAGTGAGTGGGACACTGTCGGAGCCCCGTTGTCAGTATCACCGTCTCTATCTAATTGGCGCAGGAAAAGCGCTTCCTGTGGCATTGGCTAGTCCTGAAGTAGAAACCTTGCAGGTTGATCCTATTATCTAGTAGCCCTTCTAAACGGGTTTCGTTGTACTATATAGTTAAAATAGTCCCATATCTCCTGTAAGACAATGCATTTGTCATGTTGACTTTCCTAAAGCGTTAAATATCAGAAATCGGAGAATATGTCTCTAGAATTCTTTGCAGGATAGAGAACTTCCATTTCTAGTGAGAGCTTTTTTGGAAATTCAGCCACCATAGTGTGGGTAAATTCCTAAACTAGATCTCCCCTGCCCTCTAAAAATTCTACAAGTTTTCTTCGCTCTTTTCCTATTCTTTTAAATATCTTATCAGGTATCAGTGGACAATATAAAGAGAGAGATTCTGAAGTTAACTGATGCTCCCACTAAAGAAAGATTTCATTGTGTTGGACCTACAGAAGGCATAAATTCATAATGCCAGTGGGTGAAAAGCACCATGATTCAATGTTACTTTAAACAACTAATTTGAAGAATCTGAAGGTTTTGAGAGTGTCAAACAGATTTTTTTTAAAGAATCTGTACTGTAGTTTTTCACTGACTTACCCTAATAAACTGCCCATTGCTTTATCTGAACTGTTGATTCCTAAACAAGAGTTCTCAGAAGATCTGCTGATGCCTAAATGTGTAGTGCCATCTCCTGTGGAGGTGCTTGAAATTACTGGGTATGATTCAAATATCATGTTTGGTTGTCTGCGTTGGATAAGGGTTGTTAATGGTTTTGTAGAAAATCTGCATTGCTGGAAGTCTGATATTTCAAAGACAGATTCTTCCTGGTTTTTTTTAAGAATGTTTTGCATGTACAAATAACAATCAAAAATTCACATAATTAAAACTTGCAACCATAATTCTATGCAAAATCTGAAAAGCATGAAGTAATATTTTAGTTATCACAGTACAATTTCTTACATTTTCCCCTCCTTAGTATTGTCAAGATTTAAAAACTACCTGTGGTATCCAAACTGTTCTGTTATGTTAGAGGCATTTGGATTTTAACAAGCAGGTAGGGTTGAACAGATGTGTAGATAATATATCGCATTAATTTGGATGAAATAAGATGGATCGTTTAATTGTGATGGGGGAACTATAACCATTGTAAGAAATTGTTAGATTAAGAAATAAATGTACTTCTGCACTTATTAGAGTAAAGTGTAGCTATAAAATGTGCACTTGTTCATCAGTAGATTCTGAGGTTCCAAGCCAAATAAGGAATTTAGCCGCTCAAGTCATGTTCACGTCAATTAAAGTTGTCTAGTTAATCCCTTAGCTGATTTGAAAATTTCTTTCTGAAACAGTTCAGGTAAACGCTTGCTCGTGCCTTGAAAAATAGGATAGCTTCATTCCAAATTTTACTGGTCTTGTAAGAGTGAAATACAGTGTAAATTCAATTTTGTCATGGTGTCATACCATTTTCATTATACACGTACGGTAAACATTTTTGTGTATTCAGTATTCATTGTCACATATCCTATCTCATAGAACTGGAAGGAACCATATCCTTTGTGTTTTAATAATTCTAAGAAAAATATATGTGGAATATTAGGCTGTACTTTATTATTCTATGCAGTTCCCAGAAAGTAGTAGTTACTTTATTATCACTGTACAACTGATGTAATGAAATTCAGTTTTATTCTCATAGATTCCATATCAATAGTTCAAACTGCATGTAGAGCGACTTTGACTTTCTTAATTACAACTCCTTGTCTAAAATACATTCTGTATTTCTTTGGCTTCCAAATAATCATCTGTAACAAAGATACCACGATTAAGGTTTAGTAATAGTTCAATTTTTCAAATCTATGTGTTTGCTTTCTAAAAATTAAGCTTAATAGCCAGAGGCCTAGTCTCAACTGTTACATGTGGAAGTCCACCTACAACCACAGTTGTTTCTGCTTCTCCAGCTATTCTTTTTAGGAACATGGGACTTGCCATATCCCATCAGGCCAGTAGACCCTTTAGTCCAATATCATGTTACTAGCAGTAGCCTGCACTAGGTGATTTAGTGGAAGGGGTAAGAAAACTTGTAGTGGAAAATTAGAGAATAAGCAGACTACAGGGAAGGAATTTTTTCTTTCCTTTAACAATTAGAAGCTGACTTATGCTCTGAAGCATGAAGATTTATATTTCTTGCATCTCTTTATGACATGCAACTGTAGATATTTTCATCTGAATAAATATTCCTATTTTATCCCCTCGTCGGATCTGCTTCCAACTACAGTGCATTCTTCTGTTGCTGGTCATATTCTTCACAAGCACAAGGAAATGTGTATTGACACAATCTTGTCGTCTTACTGCTGACTGCAAGGTGTGACTATTAGTAGTAAAAGCGACTAGTCCCTTGTCACTTTCACTAAACAATCTACTCAGGCTGTTTGGGAAAGTACACTCAAGTAATCTGTATGCAGGCTCAGAAACACAGATCTGTGTTGGTTCACTTTTTTGAAGGTTATTTTAAATGACAGACTTAATTTTGTATTGAAAACGTAGATCCTGCAGTTACTGATGGTTTAGAATGGACAACTCTCCAGAAAACTCTTGTCCTGCTCTGATTAATATTTTCAAACTTTGGTTTTATCGATAATTTTGGTAATACTTAGTTTTTTAAAAAATCAACTCTCTTTGCTATAGCTGTATAGAGCCAATTACAGTCCCTGACCAGACTGTCAGACCTCTAATCCTGGCCTTTAATGTACTGATGTATAATCTCCTCTGGGGCATTGACTGCTGTAACCTTGCATCCATTGTTAGTTGAAAATGGGGCTGTTCTATTCTTTCTTCTAGCTGTTTTCTTTGAGACACCCTTTCTCCCCTTTCCCTGCTGCTGCCTCCTTTCTACAACACCTGTTATAAATTTCTTGTCCTTACTTTTAATGTCTTTTGCTGTTTAGCTCCACTCTATCTGAGGCTTTTTATTGCCTTTACTCCACTAACATCCAGCCTTAATCTCACCAACTAATCCACTTCTCCCACACCTCTTTTGTGTGGTATAAAGCTCCTTCAGATCTCTTGTACATCTCTTCTGCTGTACTGCCTACAGAACATAGCCAGCTGTTATCAGACAGACAAATAAGGAGCTAAATTTTGTGTAGTCAGTCTCTAAAACTTGCTGCATACCCACACATTTTTTGCTTTGTTTATACTAGGAAAATGCATTTTTAGAAAACATTAACTAAAAGCCTATAGCTAATAGAATGCTAAATGTGATTGTTCTCTTTAGTGTGAGCAATCATTTTTTTTAAAATTAACTAGTTGTGATTAACCTTAGAGGTTCCTTAGCTTGATAGCATACTAGCAAAATAATTAAAAGATTAGAAGAGCCAGTGAATGATCTATCCAAGTATAATTAGTCAGAAAAAGACCTGTAAAAAATAACATGCTTATCCAACATATCTGCTCCCTATGTGTATTTTGAGTCATATCTGCTTGCTTTACAAATAATAACTTCAGTATATTAGTATAATACAGTTGTACCTAGTAATCTCAGGGATTGGGAATCCCTTGTACAAGGTGCTGTATAAACCAATAACAAAGAGTATCCCTCCCCCAAAGATTTACAAATTTAGGTTAGATTATACTTGGAAAATGCATTAATTAGAAAAACATGTTAGCCAATCAGGATTAATCATAGTCAGCTACCATGACCTTAAATATGATTGACATTGTTCACACTAACAGTAATGTTAACATCATGCTCTTTTGGAAATAGTCACTGAATGGAATCACATGGCAATATTACAGTATTAGTAGTAATACTTTAATAATTAAAAGTAAGCTAATATGACTTGGAATAAATACACACGCAAAGAGCAAGATTTGTTAAATAAGAACCTACTGCTAACCAAAACTAAAAAATAGATAATCAGTAAGTTGCTATTCTAATCATACTTTAATGTCTTTCCATTATGCCA